TTTAGGTACAATTTTTTGAACCAATTGATTGACTACACTTATGATGTATTTGAGATTCATTTGTTACAGTAAATTGTCCTGTAATGACATCAATTTTTGTGGAAATATTTTTCGATGGTATATATGACTTTGCCCCATTCTTATGTCAACAAACATATCATGTAATTGACAAATGAATGATTTTGTCAAACTCTCGCTCACATTGATTGTTACAGGGATCAAAGTGAGATGGAGTCATTTCATTCCAATATATTTTCCCTTAATTTTTAGGATGTAGTTTTTTCCCTTCAAAGTTAGGAAATTCATCTCATCAAAATAACAATTTTCAAAACGTGCAGTAGATAAATCACCCGTTAAAGATGCAATATACCTATTAATAGATAGTGAATCAAAATCCACATAAACCCCAAGTTTTAGCCGGGGATCTATTTTAATGTGTTGTGGTAAAATAAGGATTTGGATAGCACAAATCAAAAATCCGTAAGTGAAAAATATTAGGTTCATGATGCATCATGTAATATAGCATGACTCCAAATAGAAGCTGAAGTTTTGTTGTCATAAGTAACGGTCTAGCGATAAGTTGTAGACATTTAATAAACAACTTTGCTAAACCATTTTGTGTATGGACATGAGCAACCAAATGTTTAATAATAATCCCAATTGACATACAACAATCATCGAATGTTTGCGATCTAAATTCATCAGCATTGTCAAGATGAATAGTCTTGATAGAGTAATAAGAAAATTACATTCGTAATTTTATGATTTGAGTAAGTAGTATAATAGTACATTCCTTATGGAAAGTAGGCAAATTGTGACCATTTAGAAGAAAAATCAATTAATATCATAAAATAATGAAATGATTCACATGGTAGGTGTATTAACCCACAAATATTTCCATAAATTTTTAAGAAAGTTAGATATTCAATATTGACTTCTTTAGTCGAATGTCTAATGACTAATTTGTTTTGCGAACATTCTATACACAAATAATCATTAGGTAAAAGAATCTTCTGATTTTTTAAAGGACGTCCATGTGATTCGTTCATTATTCGATGCATCATTATAACTCTTAGATGTCCACATTGATCGTGCCAAAATATAAATTTTTTTAGGTCAACGAACTTCTGGTTCGTAACAATATTTAATTCAATCATTTTGATAAATGTATGATACATGCCAAATGGGAATGCACGAAGTTTTTCTTTTATCTCTTCTAGCTAGATACAAAAGAAATTATGTAAAGATATTCAACATTACTTTTTTACATCGTCTCAATGTGATATTCGTTATAGTGGATATCTTTAAAACAAAACAAATTCCTTCTAAATTTTCTAGAATGAAATGCATCGTTAATATATAATTTTGTGTTATTTGATAAAATAATACAATCTCTTTTGGGGTCTTTAAGGATATTCGATACACCTGATATCATATTAACATTATTTTATGCTAATTTTAAGTCAAAAATATATTTTATCTTGAAGAATAGTATGTATAGTTACACTATCAATCAAGCAAAAATCTTGACAATTCATCATGAATCTTCAACATTATTTGAAGAATTAAGATTTCGCGCTAATAACTTGTTATGAAAAGAGAGAAAAAGAAAAGCGAAAATAAAAGTCAATAGGCTTTTATGTATTTTTTTAAGAGCCAAGCCCTATATTTATAAAGAAGACTCATAGAAACAATTGCAATAATTTTTAAGGTTGTAGGAGTATAATTATCATTTACTAATAAGCTTACAATTTACAATAGCGGTGTATTTATTAAAAATATATTTTAATTGTGGTGTAATTATAATGTAGTTTAGTAAGTAAATTTTGTGGTGATAATATAATTATCAATAATATGTTATAAATTATGTGTTTGTTCGATAGTGATTTTGAGAATAGATTTTTTGATCGTTGAAAAGAAAAGTGGGTCCTACCTGTAAGAGAAAGATGTAAAAATGACTACTTGAATAATGAAATAACGATCAAAAATTGATTTTTTAAAAATGAGAAGAGGGTGGACACCCCTATGTACCAAAAATTATGTATCCCAACGTTTCCCATAGATTATCACTACAATAGATGGGAGAGAGATAGATTGTTCACTACAATAGATGGGAGAGAGATAGATTGTTCACTACAATAGATGGGAGAGAGATAGATTGTTCACTACAATAGATGGGAGAGAGATAGATTGTTCACTACAATAGATGGGAGAGAGATAGATTGTTCACTACAATAGATGGGAGAGAGATAGATTGTTCACTACAATAGATGGGAGAGAGATAGATTGTTCACTACAATAGATGGGAGAGAGATAGATTGTTCACTGCAATAATAGAAGAGTTAAATGTTTCATTGGATGTCACGGCTAACTCACCAAACTTCATCAAATGTCACATTAGCCACTGAACTTTGCTTCGTCTCACTCCATTAGCCATTGGATAAAATCAGTTAATAAATGTGCATACATGGCTAACGGTAAAACGACGTGTCCAATTAAATCGCTTCAGATGACAAGTTAAGTGACAAATCATCCCTCCGTCATAAATTCATTTGCCAAATAAGCCTCCCCTCCCCAATATGACTCTTTCAAAGCCTGAAATCAATTTTTTTTTCCAAATCGAATCCTCTATTAGGTAAAGTCTGAAGTCCCTAAACCCTAATCCTCAAATCAAGATCATCCCTTAGACTAAACTTCCCATCCGTTGAGGTTGATCATTCTTGATTGTGTCCACATGGATGGACTAGCTGAAGGTAATTTTGAAACAAGCTACCTTCATTTTTTGTCTTTCCCATTGATTGATGCATTTGGATGTATGTAATAATTTGAACTTTTAGGGGTGTAATTTTTTAATATCAAATCTGTTTTTGTTCTTTGTCTAAGATCTTTTGAAATTTTATGTCAGCAAGGAAAAGTGTCCCTGATTATAATCAGTTCTTTTATGATTGCTAGAGCTAAGTGCTTGTAAATTGCATTCATTGTAACTCTGTCATCAAACTTCTTGTTTAGTTAGTGTTGATATCGTAAAAGGTCCAAAATATGCTCATATCTTACCATTTTCACTGTAAACTGCTCGAAAATTATGCGAATTTGATAATTTCACGTTCCAGTGTGTTCTAAATTACTAATGAATCTAAGTTTAACGGAATCATTTCTCTCTTTAATAAACTGAGACACTCCTTTAGATCAGTGAGAGTATGATGAAATCATGCTTTTAGTTCATCTGTGATGAGTGTGAATTTTGAAACGAATTTACTGTCTTCTAATATACATTATTCATTTTGTGGTTTGATGTTTAAAATGCCGCTATATACTCCAATTAAATATTTAGTACACAATGAGAGATATCACTCGAGGCCGGAGGCACCTGTTGATGTGAGCATATGCTTACTTCTTTTCACTTCTTACTTTAATTACAATATTCTCATAACGGTTTATTACCAATAGGTCTGGTTTGAAGAAGACTTAGAACTTGTTGGCACAAATTGCGACAGAGCGTTTGACAAAAGGGTTAGTACAATTTAATTTCATTACTTTATACTTGAATATGTTGGTTCTTCATTTTGACTAATGATTCTATATGGCTTATGCAAAATGGTAAAATGATTGCAGGAGGGAAGGAAGCATCGTTAAACCAAAAACGATGAGGAAGTACAATCTTTCCAATTCATGCCAACCCCTATGGTGGCAACTGAAAGGCGATCGGGTGGCATTCAAACAACAGCTACTATGCACTCACAGTCAGTTGCATCTCATGTGCCAGCCGATGAAGTGAACTTCAATGAATTGAATGACAGTGTATGCGGAATCTACCACATTGAGAGCGGCAAGGACAAGCACGCAATGACGTGCGAAGCTATCAAACTAAACAACATCTCAGCATGCAGGGATAAACAAATAGCCACATTAAATGATGTTGATATCAGTTTTTTTTTCTTTTGCTGTAGGAAATGATGTTCTGACCAGTTACCGTCCATTTTTTTAATGCTGGAAATTATTATGTTCTAAATATGTACGGATGGTTTGTATAATTATGGTTTTTGATGTTCTAAACATGTATGGATGATTTTTTACGTTCTGTCATATGTGCATGTATCATTTTGTTTGCTTATGTTACTCTTGTAAATATTATTACTAAGTTCATGCCAGTTCAAAGGGAATAAAGTACAGTAAAAACCAAAATTAAGCAATATGAATACATTCATTCTCTTTTGAAGATTAATTTCTAAACTTAGTTCAGCCCAACATTGAGAGGCTGATCAATCACAGAGCTCCCAAAGCAGTCCACGGGATCAAGATCTTCATTTTCGAATGGCCAAAAAATCATAGTCAAACTTATTCTCATCAGTAAATTTTTTATCGTACAAATTCTGTATACGAAATTGTTCAAACTTTGGTGTTTAAGTGGTGGGGAATTCATCAAAATATGAACAATAAAAAAAATGCCTTGAAAAATGCCCCCCGGGGCACTTCTCAACTGGCAAAGGACGGGTTCTCTCAAAGATGGCAGATCAGAGGTCGTGGGTTCAATTCTTGTGGCTCTTGGAAGGCAAGGCACATACTGGAAGGTAGGATTTATCCTGGAAGGTAAGAGTGTCTTGGAAGGTAAGACGCAACATGAGTTGGCTTACTAGGCACTTTGGCAGTCCAGTTGGAGAGGTGCTCGGACCTTGGTCAGTTGGAGGCACATCCCGCGGTTTAACTGGTCTGTGTAAAGAGGGGTTAGATCACAGACCCAAAGAATAGTCGTCGAAGGCGGACATCTTGATAAAAATAAAATAAAATGATATTGTAGCTCTAATGACTGAGGTAGGTGTTAGTACTTGCAACTTTATCTCCTCGACTAAGAAACACAATAGTCATAATCTTCAGATTCATTAACAAATTTCATCCAATGGCTAATGGAGTGAGACGAAACAAACTTTAGTGGCTAACGGGACACTTGACGAAGTTCGGTGGCCAATGAAACATTTCTTTCATAATAGAGACTCCATAGACCAAAACGGGGTGCCGACCCATTATACGTATGACTACAGTAAGCATTTTAACCCCCTTGGTCGAAGATGAGACTCGCTCTATCTGTTCCTTTCTCCCTTCGTCACCGGGGTATCACTCTGCCCAAAATAACATTAATAATTGAACCCTCTTAATTCTAGTTCGTTTTACAGATACATAATCCAAAACAAGATTGCAGCAGTGAATTTAGAGAACTAAGTTGAGGAACAAGAATCAGTGATGAAGCCCGATATGGAATTTGAAGTAGAATTCTCAGCTCAAATTGATGGATCTGTACGTGAATCTGGATTCAAGGATATAAGTATTCAGAAGTCGGAGGAGGCCCGGCCCGATTCGAACGGTTTGGATCAGTGCTACGATAATAGGTTTCGGCCAAGTGATGTGAATGGATATGCTGTTTATGCGAGGAATAAGAGGTTGAAGAGCAGTGGAGGTAAAAGCGATGGGAGGATTGGGTATTTCGATAAAATCCAGGGGCGTTTTGGAAATTCATGTAGAGATGTAGAAGCTGTAAATTCGAAAGGTGGAATTGTAGGTCTTGGAGCTGACATAGTGAACGCCGGTGGAGTTGACGGTTGTTTACATGCTTCGGGGTTTAAAGGAGGTGATGATGAGAGCAAAATGTTGGAGATTGAAGTGAAAGAGGAACCTGTGGCAGGAGTAGCAAGGAGTGACTCGCCTAGAAGATTTACATGGTCGACCTTGAAATTGAATGCTGATAGTTCGGAAACGGAAAGTGAAAATTTGGGAGAATTACAGGATGCAGTGGTTTTGGACTCAGAGAGAATAAAGAACGGGGATTTGAGTGGGTTGGGCACTTCGGCTAGGAAGATGGAAATGAAGATGTCTAAGAAAATAGCAATAAAAGGGAAGCCTACAACTGTTAGGGAGCTTTTTGAGACTGGGTTGCTGGAAGGGTATCCAGTGTTCTACAATGGTGGCAAGAGGGTATTGTTTGGAGTAGCCGTTTATGTTTATTTAATATTTTGTACAAAATTAAATAGGACATATGATATGAGTGTGTTTGCAGCATTTGGAAACCATTTGGTGATATCTTGATGTACTCAGGAATTAATATTTATAATTGTTGCAGTTATTTGATCGCTTTGACTAATACGAATGTCTAGCAGGTGCATGCCTGCATGTGCTTGGACAAATTGACAATCATGAAGTTACTTGCCCTAGTCACTCCAAGACACGCACACAGAAAAAGGAACTATTCGTTCCAGTTGCTAACATAATAAGCAAAATGAAAATTTTCTGCCCTGATGCTAGTCATGAGAGAAGTTTTCATACATTTAATTTGCTATAAAAAAAACTGTTTGTCCACTCACTCTGTTTTGTGTTATGGAGTTATGATGAATCAAATTTTGATGCTAGAGAATGCATAACAGCTTAGTACCATAACTGTGCAAATATAAACAGTGGGTTTATAGTACTTAGGAAGTAAACTCCTAGCACTTCATATGTGGGGAAATATGTAACTGCTGATGATTATATGCTTATACACGCGCAAGATGTTATTTGTTTGATGAAACATGGAAGATGGATATTATTTTGTACGTAATCAGAAATCGGGGGGAAGAGGCATTTGTTTGAAACTTCTTCATATTTGTTGGAAATTGTATGAGTCAAGGAAGGGGAGGATGTTGGTTGTAATTAGAGCATGCTGGGGAAGTGTTTATATGCTGTACAAATTATTAATAGATAGAGATGGGGGGTGAATAAGTGGATAGTTCTTGTGGACATTTCGAAATGTGTGGATAAAAAATGGCTTGAGTATTTATGAACGGTTTATAAACATGAGCCAAACATAGGCTAAATTTCATTCGTATGTTCGTTTATTCAAGCTATTGTTGAAAGAAAGTATGTTTAACACTGATGATGTTTTCCCTGGCTTTTATTTGATGAAAATTGATATTTTCGTTTTAAACTTTAATTTTAATGCAGTATCTTTCTTTTAGGGATTCCCACTACGGGGAACTATAAAAGATGCTGGAATTCTGTGTTCTTGCAGTTTGTGCAGGGGAAATAGGGTGAGTACTAATTCTTAATGAGTTGGTTTAAATCCACTTATTTATTGTGTTAATATCATGCACAAACTATATTTTTTACATCTTGATATTTATAGGTACTTCCACCTTGTCAATTTGAGATCCATGCTTGTAAATCATATAGGCGAGCATCACAGTATATTTGCTTAGAGAATGGTAAAAGTCTCCTTGATGTGGTGAAGGAATGTCGAAAATCTTCTTTAAAGATACTAGAAGAAACAATTCAGAACTTTATAGGACCTATGCCTGAGAAGGAATCTGTCACTTGCCGGAATTGTGCTGGTGAGATTGCTTTTATTACTTTGATCTTCTTGAATGTTATGCTGCGAACACATTTAAAAGATAGCTTGGTGTCATCAATCTCTAGGGTTATTTCTGGCAACATCAGCTGGAAAGATGGACCAACTCTGTGATTCATGTATGATTATCCTGAACTCAGAAGCTGATACAGAATGCATGAAATCTAGGTACTCTTTCTTTAATTGTAATTGCTTGAACAGCAACTCTTGTTTCTGACTTGAACTCTTGTTGTTTGTCTCATGAACAGCTCAGCTTCTTCACAATATTTTGAATTGCTGAAATATCTTACACAATTTTAGCTTTATTTGAAGGAGATGTAAGCGTGCTAATAAATTTTGGGGTTCTGAAGTTGTGTGTTTTTTTCGTGCTATTGTGACTTATGCATTAGCACAACATTAATGAGCGCCAGATTAGTCATGTGATCCACCTAGCATTGAAGTAAGATCTGGGACTGACTAAAGCTTTATCTGATATGCTTGGGGAGAATTTGCAGGCTAGAACTGCTGACTTTTGCACTCACTTTACAAAGCTTTAGATATGATCCGCAACGTCAATTCCGGCAGGGAAAGTTTCCAAAATTCCCGAGTTGTTAGTTTTGGTTAGAATTATTTATTTTTGGTAATTTCTATATTCTTAGGAGTTTTATTTTGTCTAGAATTCTTAATTTTGGTAACTTTTATATTTTTAGAGTTTTATTCCTTTTCAAACTACTTGCTAGGTTTTTAGTATAAATAAGTTTATTTTCCCATTGTAATACACAAGACTTTTCATATGAATTATTGAATAAAATTCTCTCGAAGCTTTTCGCTTCAATTATCTTGTTCTTCAATAGACAAATCGAACTTATCAAGAAAGTGACTTCTTGTGACATTAAAAAACATGGGATTGGATCTTTGGGTTATGTAATCAAGGGGTCTTTCAAACATCATTCTTGTTGGGTTTTTTTGTTTAAGTCCACAATCCGGGTAAGATTTTGAGACTTAGTGATCAAGAGGTCGTTGGTTTAATATACCTTGGGTTGCTTGGTTCATCGTTCAGAAGTTAAATCCTAAACCTTGGTCATATTTGGATGTTCTTGGGATCCGGTGTCAATTTCCGTGGGTTGGATAGCAACCTTGCTAACCGAGTTCGCATCAGCTTTACTGATACTTAATGTGATTATGGGTCACCTGTGGGCAAATTTTTTATTCCACTGGATTCTAAACTCTGCTAGAGGACTATTTATTTGTTTATTGTTGAGGTCTCAACACAGACCTGACTTCTACTTAAGTTCGTCTGTATCATAATATAATCTTTATTGAACATAGTAACTTCTACATTTTGAGTTCTTATGTGGTTTGATGCTATGAATATAGAGCTGCTAGTGATATTTTTTTAATCAACTTATAAGTTTATAAATTGTAATTATGTTACAGATTTTCTACTTCTTGATACATTAAAATTTGGTTTGGCATCTTTCAGGCCTTTGGAGCCACTTCTGGGCTTAATGTCTCCTGAAAGTGGTGAACTACATAATGCTCCCAGGAAAAAAGGTCGTCGAGGGAGGAAAAAGAGAAAGTTTGTATCTTATTTGCTGTTACTCTTGTAGCTTGATTGCATTTTCCTTACACTAGAGTACCAAGGAAGCTAAGAATATGTTGTTGTTTCCCTTTCTCAGGCATTCAGAATTGACATCCAATGGAAAGTCTATGGGAAGATCTTCAGCGCGCCTTTCATCAAGAAATGCGAACCATTGGAAGACAAAAATGAAGTTGGTCATTTTGCTTAATTTCTTTACTGTTTAGTGAGACTTCACTGCCCTTGCACTTTAAAACTTGACCATGTTTAACTATAATCTGTAGAATCTTTTTCCCTGCTGATATGTTTCTGTTTGGCTCATTAAGGTTGTCACAATCAGCTTCTGCCCTAAATTCATCTGGAAGTGCTTCGGTGAGGTATTTGAAACCAACTGCTGATCTAAATTCAAATAGTAGTGCTTCCTTGCACTGCTCACTAAATAACAAGAGCCCAAGAAAGATGTTGAAGTTGGTGTATGTATCTTTTCTTGATGCATTTTAGCTTTTCACTTTGATTAAATATTGTATATTCTCATCATTTGTTTGATTTCTGATCTTTCAGGTTGTCAGATTCCATTTCGCACTCCAACTCTCTGAAAAGTACATCCACATCCTTCTCTCCACAATCTAAGGCTTCGTGGAAGATAACAAAAAAGTTGGTACAATTTACTCGGATGTTACCTTACAAAATAATTCATGTTAGTTTTACTTCCTTGTACTATGACACATTAAGAAATGCTATGGTTTCTGACATTATTTTACACAGAGACCAGAGGATGCACAAACTGGTTTTTGAAGATGGTGGATTGCCTGATGGTACTGAAGTAGCTTACTACTCTCATGGAAAGGTGGTTCAAATAATTCATGCGCTGTACATTCTTTTTACAGTTTCAGTATTGTAATTTCTGCTTGTCCATGGGCAGAAATTGCGTGATGGTTATAAAAGGGGATCAGGAATAGTTTGCTATTGCTGCAACGTTCTGGTATGATTCTTCATTCTTAGTTTGGATTCTCTGTTGTTCAAGCAGATGTATTTACCCTGTTCATCTGTTATGAGCAGGTCAGTCCATCTCAGTTTGAAGCTCATGCTGGTTGGGCCTCTCGGAGGAAGCCGTTAGTGTCTCTCAAACATTGGCAGTTTTTAACAGCCTTTTTGGGTTTACGTTTAAGACCTGATGATTCATGTGTTTGATGCAGTTATATGTACATCTATACATCGAATGGGGTGTCTCTTCATGAATTTGCCATTTCTCTGTCGAACAGTCGCAAATATTCCGCAAAAGATAATGACGATTTGTGCATCATTTGCGCAGATGGTGGGAAACTTGTGCTTTGTGATGGATGTCCAAGAGCCTTCCACAAAGGTGAATCTTAACTTTATATGTAGGTTGATTTAGATATTATATTCTTGACTACGTTTCCATTTGAACCCTTTCCTGGCGTTTCTTGAATTCCTTTTATCATTTTGATTCTTGTAAACGGCTGCCTCTGTGTTTTTATTGTTTTCATTCGATTACTCACCCCATTTCGTACTTGACGGGGTTGATTGCTTTGTCAAACAGTGTTAGACCAATTTTGGCAATTTTGATGAGTGGCATCTGATTGCTGTGCCCTATGGATGTAGTAGTTTATCCTCGTGGTGAATCTTGTCTATGCTAGTTCTCTCTCACTCTCTGGGCACCCTGCTTTCTTTCTCTATGTTGTTGTTTCTACATCAGCTTGTTCGCTTGAATTAAGTTTCGAGGGATTCAGGGACATTTGTTTTTCCTTTGTCATGATGATCTAGTTATGTACTATTTTGACATACAAGCATTCCGTTGATCCTATGTTGAGTATGAGTGTTTAGGTGATGGGGGTTTAAGCTGTGGAAGAATATAATATTCCTGATTAATGATTGAACTGTTATCTTTGTTCTTGATTTAAATGATGGCTGCTTCTCAAGTAGGCAATACTATCTATGGGCCTAATTAAGCAAGTATTTGTGTTATTATTATCTGGAATTTCTTCCGGTACTCTTTTGTTACAGATTCAATATTCAATGCTGTGAGTCAGCTGCTTCCATCAGCCACCCTGATTAACTTTTACTGTCATCTTTTGTTTTGATTGATCTATTGTCTGTCTAGACTTGTCATTTGTCTTTTTACCATGCAGAATGTGCATCCATCCCAAGTATCCTGCGTGGCAAATGGTACTGCACATACTGCCAAAACATGTTCCTGAGGGAGACTTTTGTTGATCACAATGCCAATGCTGTTGCAGCTGGAAGAGTAACTGGTTTTGATCCAATAAAGCAGATAACAAACCGTTGCATCCGTATTGTTAAGAACCCAGAAGAAGCTGAAGTGATAGCATGTGTGATTTGCAGGTAATATACAAAAATATTTAAAAAAAAAAAAAAGGGTGTTTCCATCAATCTTTGTAGATCATTGTGATTCACATTGGATAACAATCTGTCTAGTTAATATTGTCTTATGTTATCACATGAACTTGTTTGGTATGCAGAGGCTACGACTTCAGTAAATCTGGTTTTGGTCCACGCACTGTTATACTATGTGATCAGGTATTCTTTCTTTTCTTTTCTTTTTCCTAGTAACATTTCATTCTCAATGAAGTGACATAAATTTGGAGAAACAAACTAAAAATTTTCCACTTTTTCCTAGTGTGAGAAGGAATATCACGTGGGTTGTCTGAAAAAATGCAAGATGGCTGATCTAAAGGTGTGCAAGTGTGCAACTAAAGTAACTTTTCGTTGTTTAATATAGATGAGCTACTCACCATCTTTCTAGATCTGAAATTGATGCACCTGTGCAACAGGAACTTCCAAAAGGAAAATGGTTCTGTTCGGTGGACTGCAAGAGGATTTATTCTGCATTGCAGGATTTGTTGAATGCTGGGGAGGAGAAACTCCCCGACCCTTCCTTGGATGTTATAAAGAAGAAGCAAGAGGGAAAATGTTCTGATGCTGGTGTTGACTTCGATGTGAGATGGAGGCTTTTGAATGGGAAAATTGCTTCTCGTGAAACCAGAGTGTTGCTGTCACAGGCTGTAGCCATATTTCATGTAAGCATTGACAAAGCCAGATTTTGATGTTCATTTTCTCATTTTTTTGGTTAGTAATTATGATAATTAACTCGTGTTATGCAACTAGAGCAAGTAGGATTTGATATTGCTTCGGTTTTTATGGTTGATGGGTAATCTAGACTCTCAAGTTCGCATGATGTTTGTTCTGTATACGCATTCAGTTATATGAGCTTGTCCAAGTATTAGTTAAATTGAATCAAAACTGTGTAACTTGCAAACAAGTTATGGAATGGTAGCAGCACTAATATTTCGTAGATTCAGGCTAATGGTAATTACTTCAATACATTTTTGCATGGATCTTGATACAAATTGGTGNTTCTCATGAATTTCTTTCCTATGACTAGGGAATTTTCCTCTCATTGGAACCCTACTGCTTTTGCATCCCAGATATTATAGTGGTTGACAAATTTTTTTTTTGCTGATTTAAGTTGATATTGTTAATTCTGACTTGACCTTTTTTACGTTGTAGTTCTAGTTTGGAATTTATTCTAATGAGGCTTTTTTCTTTTACTCGTAATCTCTCAATTGAAGTTGGCATTATTGAATTGTTGATTACTTGTCTTTCAGGATTGTTTTGACCCAATTGTTGACTCAGAAACTGGACGTGACTTCATTCCATCTATGGTTTACGGGTAAGCATGAATTCTTCTGCACTTATAACAAGCATGGTTGGCTTTCTTGCCTATGTTGTTCCATCACGTTCTCTCTCTCTCTCTCTCTCTCTCTCTCTCTCTCTCCCCCACAGAAGAAATATAAGGGGACAAGACTTCGGTGGAATGTATTGTGCAATATTGACGGTGAAGTAAGAATTTTTCCACAAACCATGCTATATAATTTGTGTGTTGCTGATATGTGCTCTTTTGACCAGTTATTTTTCTGATCATGTAGCTCAACAGTTGTATCAGCAGGAATCCTTCGGATTTTTGGTCAAGAAATAGCTGAACTCCCATTAGTTGCGACACGCATTTGTAATCAAGGGAAAGTGAGTTATTTACGGCTTTGTAGCTTATCAAGGATATTTACTATGATTATTATTATTATTATTATTAAATTATATGAGGGTCTTGACTTGCGAAATAGAATTTGAAACTGAACCCTGGTACAAAAAATAACTAAAGGGTCAAGTAATTGCTGAGAAGTTTATAGATTGCATGTTTTATTGATGATTATTTGCTGCAAAGATGCAGTTTCTCTATATGATGAAGAAGAATGGAAGTCAGTTTTATATAATATGGAATTTTTTATTCCCCTGAAAAAATCGACATGATTATCCAAGAAGAGTATTGTTATTCCTGATAAGGGTGCACAGGTTTTTTCTTTGGCGGAGCTACTTATCTGGCAATTTCTATTTATTGTCTTTTGTTTTTTTTCCCTGGTCCGATTCTTAATAGCTTCTTTATTTTCTGGACATTTTAAGAGCTTTCTAGATTTCTCTCGAGCTACATAAATTCTGATATAACCAATATTTGGCTCATGCAAATGATCTAAAAGATTATGTACATTGATCAAAGATCAGTGCGTTCTGACCACCTCCGGCAAAGCACAGATTCTTCCCTCTCGTGAATATTGAGGGTTCTCTCTACATTTTGATTGGTCTCATCTGCTTTCGTTATGCCTAGTGGAGCTCTCTGCTGTCTTCATATCCATCTTTCAACTGAAAATGGGAATTAAAAAAATCCTGAAATCTTTTTAGTTCTAAATCCTTAATAGAGTAGAAAGAATGTGGAAATAATTAAAAGTACGTATCTTTCTGATTTTCTTCTGTATGTGTCTATGCGCTCACGTTACCTACCTGACAAGTATGAAATCAGACTCTATTTACATTTTTGCTTAAATGTGTGCTTTTCCTAAATGTGGAAGGCCTCTTCTTGTTTATATGATGTTCAAACTGTTTGTGTTGCAAGCTGTGACCAAGAGAAGTTAGAAATGGGATATTACTGTGTTCAAAATTTTAGCAGAAAAGGTGTAGTGAAGAAATGGTAAATTTTTTGGAAAAAGATTTGGAGGGGTTTCTGTGTTACCAGTCTTACTGGGATTGCTATTACTTGAAGCCAGTGGATAATTTATGCAAGCTTCCCCATTTTCTTGTTATGCTTCTTTTCACCTTATATAATGTAATATCTGTGATACTTCTCAATTTCTCTGGTAAAAAATTGCTGCTGCCATCTTCCATCATTGAAGCATCTGTGTTGCATCATTCGTACCCCATTGTGCAGGGATACTTCCAAACACTATTCTCCTGCATCGAGAATTTGATTTCTTTTTTGAATGTGAGAAGCCTTGTTCTCCCGGCTGCAGACAATGCAAAGTCAATATGGACAGACAAGTTTGGATTCAAAAATATTCCATCGGAAAAGGTATCTGAATTGGCCTACTAAACAGCAACCTGTTTGTCCCTTTCAGTTCTAAAGGGGGAAGGGAAAATAAAAATTAAAGCAACGTTCACTTATTTGACCTGTCATTCATGATTATCGTTTTTGTCGTGCAGCTTTTTAATTACAGAAGGAGCTGTTGGCAAATGATAAGCTTTGAGAGAACATCTATGCTAGAAAAATCAGTTCTAAAATGTCTTAGTATTAATCAAGAAGAAGCAGATTGTGAAATTCCCCTGCAGTGATTAGCCAAATGGAGCCATTTTCTTTGCGGCTTTATAAGCTGATGTAAATGGCTTTTCTTTTGTTTAAAAAAAAAATTATTTATATATTGTACAAGCTTCAGGGCTGAATCAGAAATTACAGGTTAGCGATAGATTGTAGCAGAAAAGGAATAGGAAACACCTTTATGTTTTTCATATTGCTGGAAAATGGTAGTGAATTGTAAAAAGCTATCAGAAGCTTATGATTGGCATAATTTGGGTCTAGGTATTCAATCTATTATTTCTCATTTTCGGTAGTTATTTTTCGTGTAAATAATTATTTGGAGGAAACCCCCCTCTTTGATTCTGACGTCTGTATACTCTTGAATCTTCTTTCGAATTGACTTAGGTCCTCCTGTTGGGTAGTAATTATGAAAAATGATTTTTTGATCGTTAGAGAAAAAAGTGGGTTCCACGTGTAAGTGAAGAAGTCAAAAATGACGTCTGGGATAGTGAAATAACGGTTAAAAAATTGATTTTTTGGGGTGAAAAATGCCTACCAAACGGGGGCTCAGACTACGTGACAACTGATTATTGCTCTTTTCTTTTGGAGCCTCATTAAATCAATTATTGGATCCACTTTAAGAAGCAAATATGATGAAGTGTTGTTTTATCTGGATTTATTCTATTAGAATTTCTCTTGAATGCGTAACATAAAATAGGTCAAGGATGTTCGTGTAAAGTGAGAGTTATATGAATCTCCAATGAGCTTATCGATTACGTTGTTACATAATGATTTCCTGATACTTGGTCAGATGATAGGGTTGGAGATGGGTGATGAACATTCTTGTAATTGATGGGATTACTGGTATCTAGTGTTTACTTGATTCCTTTTGACTTGTCATGGTTTGCGGATTTGGTAAACACTACCATGTAGGATTACTTCTTCATTATCCATGTGCAATACCTCGTGAATGTTCGAGTCTGAGTTTAAATTAGTATGGCAGTGTGAAAGTGAGCTTGTAAATTTACTAACAGAATTTATGCCGAGAGGAAACAATTGAGAGATCTGTCAAAAAGGAGATAGTATATGTTATTAAAACTTAATCTTCAATGGGGAAGGACTGTTCTGCAATGTCCTGAATTAGAACTGATATACTCAAATGTGAAGCTCCACCAGATTCCATTGTACTCTGTGAGATCGTCTTGAGCTCGCGGGCTCTGTTTCTTCTCATTTCGCCTTCTTCCCCTTCATCCATTAGCTGTTCTATAGCACTTTTAACTTGGTCTTTCTTTACGAGCACTCCAACTTTCTCCTCGTCTCCCCATCTAACTGGGAGCTCAACTCCTACTCGAACCCCAATCCTCAGAATTTCCACAATAAGTTTCTCATTGAAGAATTGTTCTGCAAACATAGGCCATGTTATCATTGGCACGCCAGAGCACACCCCTTCTATTGTTGAGTTCCAACCACAATGTGTTAAGAACCCTTTTATTGCAGGATGAGAAAGAATAAGAACTTGAGGGGCCCATCCTTTGATCAAAAGTCCCCTCCCTTCAATCCTCTCCTCAAATTTCTCCTCCAATAACCATTTCTCCAACTCCGGAAATCTTTCTCCTGTCTTTATTACCCAAATAAATGTATGTTTTGATGCTTCCAAAGCTAGTCCGAGTTCTATTAGCTGCGATGGAACCAGACGGCACTGGCTGCCAAGGCACACGTAAAGAACAGTCTCCGGTTTCTTGGAATCAAGCCATTTCAAGAACTTTGTTTCATCAATTGAAGCTTTATTCCCTCTTTCAATCTTGTCCAAAATATCCCTGTTGCATAGTGAAACCGGGCCGATACACCATACCTTTTTGTTGATAGCATTCCTGTATTCTTCCACAAAGGCATTCTCCAATTCTTGGAAAGTATTCACCACAACCCCATAAGCACTCGATTCAGCCTCTTGCATTTCGTCCCTAATATCATCCAAATCCGGCAAAGTAACAAATGCTCCTGGCAACTGAGCTTTTGTTATTTCAACCCGCATGGGAATTCCAGGAATCACAAAGGGTTCGAAATCAGATTTTACGGAAAGATGAGGTTTGTAAAGTTTCACATAATGGGAACTCAGGAGGGAAAAACAGCACATCCCATGAAAAACAATCCGCGGTACCTTGAATTTCTTGGCCGTTTGAGATGTCCAAGAAAGGCTCTTATCAGAAATTATGCAACTTGGAGGAAGACTATGTTGCTGTAAGTACTGTTCCAACGGCTGTTGTAGCTCATTCAGCGCGCGAAAAAAATTCCTTATGAGGTTCCTCGAGGGGACGCTATCAAGATTCTCACATCCCAGTGGCAATCCTACTTCTTGACAGGGAAACGGAATTTCTATTAGATTAATCTTCAACCCCGCAGCATGTGCGAGACGAATACTACTGGAAAGCCTGTCCGCGTTGTGTGGGGTAGTGACTAAGCTTGTCACCACTCCATGCTCAGCTAATAACCTGGCCATGTCTATCATTGGGATCATGTGGCCTTGAGCCAACAACGGAACGAACACAAAGTGAAGTCTCGACGGATTCTCTGACATGATTTCGGTTAATTTTCTTGGATAAATTTTCCGGACAGGAAGTAAAGAAAAAAACTAGAGGTTTTGCATTTTTTTAGTCCCTTCAAGTCTTCTAAAGCTAGCTTGACTGGTTCTAAATTTGGATTTTTGGTAAGCGAAAACACATTGTAGTGGAGCAACGGTGCACTTTGCTGCTGTCTGAGAGATGGATTTTGATCAAGTCAATTCAGGCGTACACACCGAGAAGAGTTATTTTATTTGTATGGATTAGGACAAGATTCCAGCCCAACAAAAACAGAAATCTGATATCATGTGAAGAAAATCTGGTAGGGATAGAATTAAAATTTTGTGACATATCACATCCACTTATTCTTCTTGTGACTCAAGTCGTGATGTAGATTTTTTTTTTCTTTTTTTGTTGATACCCAGGTGTCCTAGTTTTGCCAGACTAAATCCTGGACCCCTAGCTATCGGCCCCTCAGTGACTAGCGGAGGTAAACCGCAGGTTGTGCCCTTGTTGAATCGCAGGTTCCCACCCGATCTAAACTTCTGGCCTCAAGAGAACTTTCCTCCATAGTGATTAATCCACCAATAAATTGCCCATTTATTGGATCAAAGGTTCCCACCAGGAATCGAACTCTTCACGCTGAGGTTGCGAGCGCGTCGAAGGTGTTTTAAACTAGCCAACTTCATATAAGTATTATTATCCAACATTTATTTTAAATAGTCGCTTGGTTAAGTTAAGAATTGACGAATTTGGTATTAAAGAGTCGTGATGTAGATTTTTTTTTTCTTTTTTTGTTGATACCCAGGTGTCCCAGTTTTGCCAGACTAAATCCTGGACCCCTAGCTTTCGGCCCCTCAGTGACTAGCGGAGGTAAACCGCAGGTTGTGCCCTTGTTGGATCGCAGGTTCCCACCCGATCTAAACTTCTGGCCTCAAGAGAACTTTCCTCCATAGTGATTAATCCACCAATAAATTGCCCCTTTATTGGATCAAAGGTTCCCACCAGGAATCGAACTCTTCACGCTGAGGTTGCGAGCGTGCCGAAGGTGTTTTAAACTACCCAACTTCATATAAGTATTATTATCCAACATTTATTTTAAATAGTCGCTTGGTTAAGTTAAGAATTGACGAATTTGGTATTAAAGTGGAGTGATGTTTGGTAAATTTTAGGGTTGGACAAAACTTCCGAATCGAATCAAACCAAGTGATTCTTCTTAAGTTAAATACTCAAACGGATATCCAAATTGAGAATCGATGGTTGCAGTTTGGTTCTCGATTTTAAATCAAGAACCGAAAAATCGAATCTCCTTAAAATTTTTAATTAATTTATTTTAAATAAGCCAAATTATTTTATTTTTTCTATATTAATTTGCCAATTGGTTAATTTAGCTCAAATCCAAAAATATGATTTTTCTATTTCTAATTTTCAGTTCAAATTGGTAAAAAAGTAATATTATTTACTAACTAATGATATAAAAAATAAAAGAAAAATAAATAAATAAATGGGGCTATAAATGGGGCATGAGACTTGCCCTGCCCCGACCCGATCCTACCCTGTCCAACTTTAATCGAGTATGGAGTAAGATAACAAATATACCCGATGGGACGAGGGTAGGAATGACCGATTCGTCCTATATCCGTCCCGTTGCCATCCCTAGATAGATGGTGAAAATTGAATTCCTTGTCATAAAATTGGATGGATGTACGAACTAAATAAATGGGGCTATAAATGGGGCATGAGACTTGCCCTGCCCCGACCCGATCCTACCCTGTCCAACTTTAATCGAGTATGGAGTAAGATAACAAATATATCCGATGGGACGAGGGTAGGAATGACCGATCCGTCCTATATCCGTCCCGTTGCCATCCCTAGATAGATGGTGAAAATTGAATTCCTTGTCATAAAATTGGATGGATGTACGAACTACGAAGTCACAAATGGTGAGATTTTGATTTTTGCTAATGTGAACAAATCAGACGAAACTTCATTTTGGAGCACACACCACGTGCGTTTGCTTGCCAATTCATGGGTCAATGCACGTGTCTCACGAAGATAAAGCAACGGGTTGTCTTTCGTTATTATTTATTGAAAATAGAACAACATGGAACATGCAATAATAGGCATTTGTCTAATTGTTTGATGTTAATTGGAGTGTATAAGTTGGACTAAGGTGGAGTTGTGACTTGTCATTAAATTATGAATGTGGAGCTCAAATTCCAACACCGACACTAGAATAAAGTGGGCTAAAATTTATAATGAGTAAATTTGGATAAGCCACAAACAGATTAAGTTCACACTGATTTTGCGATTACTCTGATGCGAATCTTGTAGTAGCGTTGACTACGAATTCCATAATTAGATTGTTAGAATTCCAGAAAAACCAATTAAGAAGTTTGAAAGTTTGAACCTAAAATCAATGAATTAAAAAAAATCCAACAAGATCAAAGCTTGAAAGAGCCATTGATTACACGATTAAAGACTAGTTCTCGAATTGTAGAAGCCAATGAAGAACGAGATGAGGAAAGCAAATTGCCTCTCTATTAGAAATTCTCAAATAATATGTTCCTACAATGAAACATGAATAACATATTCATACTACCCTAAAGAAATAACGAAAAAAATCAAAATTAAAGTCTCCTACTAGTGAAAGTTTCCAAAATAATAGACTTCTAAACAAAGTAAACAATCTCGCGAAAAAAGGTAAAAAACACGTCCTCGATTTTAACTATGCGACCGCATAGTGTTACGGAATGCAGTCGCATAGAACACTTGTGTTGCGACCTGAAATTCCTTGCCGGTATGCATGTGGTCTCATGCCTTGAGCAACTATGCGACCGCATAGTTGTTATTTTGGCCTCCTTTTTTGTTGCTTGTATTATGTTGATACAATTCACTTTGCCTCTCGATCTCAGCATGAAAGTTGCCTCATTTTGCGTCCTGGACAATGTTTTGTCAATTGTTTCTTGAACGAACAATCACATCGTTTGGCCCTCGATCGCGTCATCGGCCCGCCTTCGATTATCAACGGGTCTCATTCTGAACTAACCTTCTTCGAGCTTAACTCTAGGATCATATCATTCCCTCCCTCTATTCGTCTTCGAATCTAAACCTGTATCAAAGAGAGAGAGATCAGATATATTAAAATTTGCCGAAACATTATATTCACCTGGAAGATCTAGTTCGTAAGCGTTGTCGTTGATCTTCTTGATGACTTGAAATGGACCATCTCCTCGTGGTTGGAGCTTCGACTTTCTTTGTTTCAAAAAATGTTATTTCTTGAAATGCACCCAAATTTAATCTTCTAGTTCGAATGTCACGCATTTTCTGCCTTTGTTTGCCTGCGACGCAACAAGTTTGTTTTTGTTTTTGATCTGCAACTTCACCTTTTCGTGTAGTGATTTCATCAATACTGCTTTCTTTTTACCATCTAGAATACTTCGCTCATTCACAAGGAACAAAATGAAATCCAACGGTGTTAGTTGATTAAAACCATAAACAATTTCAAAAGGAGTAAATGAAGTAGTAGAATGTGCAGCTCAATTATAAGCAAATTCAATAGAAGGTAAACAATCTTTCCAATTTTTCAAATTCTTGTTGATCACCGTACACATCAATTGAATCATCGTCCTATTGACTACAGTTTGCCCATCGATTTGTGGGTGACAAGTTGTAGAAAATAATAGTTTTGTGGCTAACTTACCCCACAAAACTAGCCAAAAGTGACTTAAAAATTTCACGTCCCTATCCAACACTATTCTTTTTGGAACCCCATGCAAATGCAACACTATGAGCTTCTCTCAACAACAACTCTTTTATTGAACAATTAGGTACACATAATTTATTTTCACGAAATAAATGACCCCCGTGTTTAAAGAATTTATCAATAGCCCTCTTATCACAAGATTTATAAATTTCAGAAAAACTCGGGTCATTTTCATACAATTCTTTAATGTGTTCAAAACAAGCAACTTAGAACCAAGAAAAGTTAGCAATGTATACCTTCCAGATAATGCATTTGCACTATGTTTTCTTTACCTTGCTTGTACTTGATGACGTATGGAAATGTTTCAATAAACTCTATCCATCTGGCATGCCTCTTGTTCAACTTTTCTTTACCTCCTAAATGCTTCAATGACTCGTGATCGGTGTGAATTACAAATTCCATTAGCCATAAATAATGCTACCAAGTCTCCAACACCCAAACAACTGAATACAATTCCATATCGTATGTTGGGTAATTCAATGTAGCTCCATTCAACTTCTCACTGAAATAGGCTATTGGTCTTTTGTCCTGCATTAAAACTACTTTAATACATATCCTTGATGCATCACACCCAGTCTCGATAGTTTTGTTAAAATTAGGTAACGCTAAAACAGGTGCCTTACACAATTTATCCTTAATCGTTTTAAATGTATGCTCCTGTTCATCGCCCCAATAAAAAACCACACTTTTCTTAACGACCTTTGTAAGTGGTGTAATGATTGTGCTAAATTTTTTTACAAATCTCTTATAAAAACTAGTCAATCCATGGAAGCTCCTAACTTCAATTATGCTTTTAGGTGTAGGCCAATCTTTAATAACTTTAATTTTCTCATCGGCTACTTCTACCCCATTAGCACTTACTATAAATCCTAGAAATACCACATTTTCATGCAAAACGTACACTTTTTAAAGTTAGCATATAATTGTTCATTTCTTGATACTACAAGCACACAACGTAAATGTCCCACATGCTCATCAAGATTTTTCTAGAGATTAAGATATCATCAAAGTATACTACAACAAATTTTTCAATGAAAGCGTGCAAAATATGGTTCATTAAGCACATAAAAGTGTTCGGTGCATTTGTGAGTCCAAAATGCATAACTAATTATTCATATAAACCATATTTAGTTTTCAATGCCGTTTTCTACTCATCACCTTCCCTCATGCGTACTTGATGGTACCCAATTTTAAGGTCAATTTTACTAAAAATACAAGCACATGCAATTTCTCTAACATATCATCTAACCTAGGGATAGGATGATGATACTTTACCATTATATTATTGATGACTCTGCAATCCACGCACATTCGCCATGTCCCATCTTTCTTTGGCACCAATAACACTGGAATGGCGCATGGACTCAAACTTTCTTGAACATAGTCTTTTCCCATCAATTCCTCCACTTGCATCTGAAACTCCTTGGTCTCCTTAGGATTACTCCGATAAGCTAGTCGATTCGGAATAATTGCTCCAGGTATGAAATCAATTTGATGTTCAATTCACCGAATGAGTGGTAATTTACTCAGTATGTCCTCTG